TTTGGTAAAAATGTGTACCTTCGACCTTTTTCCTTTTTTGGTGTGTGTGTGTGTTTGCTCACTGTCATCTGGTTACCATTTGAAGGCAGAATTACAGCTAATGATATCTAGAGGAAAACTACAGTAGCTAAACATGCAACAGTCTTCTTTTCTTTTTCTTTCTCCACCTATTTTTCTCCCTGTCAGACCGTTCCAGATACAAGTAGTCAAAGCCTGGAAAAAAGCAGAATTTCCTAGATATTAATACTTTTGATTAATACATGAAGTTTTTAAATTGCTCTGGTCAGAGTAAAACTTTGTACTACTAACACACACAACTACTAACAGACAGTTTGAATGTGTTTGTCTGCCTTTTCTGGATGTTACCTGTGCCACACGAATACAGTAACCCCACACACACACACACACACACACACACACAACACACCACACCACACACACACACACTCTGCCTCTCGCATCTGGATTCAATCAGAACCCAACGATCCCCCAGCAGCCTCTCTAAGAGAGAAGTAGGTTAGAGCAGCAGTGTCAAATATCAAGCTCTCTCTCAAACTCATTTGAATATCTACAGTATGCGTTTCTGGAAAGTCTGAATGTACAGTGTGTTTGTGCAAGAGAAAAAAAATGAGAAATCTATGGACACAGGAGAGAATTTTGACCTGTGTGTGAGTTTGCATTCATGCAAAACGGTGACGATGCTGTGCAGGTATGGTGTCTATACAGAATGTACGAATAATGGACAGTATGAATGCTGTCCTTGTGGATTAGTAAAAGACGACCCTAAGCCATTACAGCACTACAGAACAATTTACAGCGATTTCCCATAACTCTCTCTTTTTTTTCTTTCTTTCTTTCTTATATTTAACTGTAAGCCTCAGTGGGGAAAAAAACCCTGACTTTTTCTTGTAAGTGTACAAAATCCACCACAAGCTCTTGTTACTTCTCTACCAATGGAAACCAAAAACGCAAGCGAAAAAACAAAAGCACTGTTTGAGCACTAATTGAAGAACAAACAAGAAAGAGAGGTGTAGGGGTATAAAAAGATTGGAATAATCTGAACCGGCATTACAACTGCTTCTTGATTCAATAAAGAGTATTATACAATTATGGCATTATATGGTGATAAATAATTTATTGGTCATGAGAGAAGATGAGATCGAACTCTTTGGTTCCTGTTTTTTGCTTTATCAAGAAAACAAAAAAGGGAAGAAGTGAATTATAGTGTCCAAAGAGCAAACAGTGCGAAGAGCCCCGCCTCCCTCTCACAGACTGCGGTCACCTTCTTGCACAATGCATTTGGTTAAGGGTTTGGGGAAATTTGGGGCTTTTTGTTTTGCATCAGCCTGTAACTATTTGTTGCACAGGATGTTTATCCCCGATCTCTGACTGACATTGACTTAAGTCGACTTTGTTGGAGCAGGTAGACGCTTATGCTATACACAGTATCTGCTTGTAACATCTGTAACATGTCTTGGACTCCTGCACAGCAGTTAGACAACACATTTATATACCATTGCATACTGTACTCAACAGTGCTGGACCTAGGCCACTTATAACCATGGTAACAGCAGCACATAGTGATGCTGAGTGAAGGGGGCGTGTGCTGTTTGATTGACAGGGCTTATGTTTAATGGATGACAGATGGTATCGTTTCCTTTTCACAGAAGGGAACTATATAAGTAGGGGATAATACTCAACAAGTTGTGCATTGGATGATGATATAACACGGCATCAAGAACCAACAAAATTCCATATTTAATCAAATTAAAAATATATGTTGTTTATTTACCTGAATAACTAATTTGATCATATTCTGTAATATATTTTTTTAATATCATTAAATATGGCTCCTTTACCTAAGAACTACTGTAACTTAAGTTGCTAGGCAACATCTTTTTAAACGGGAAGGAGTATGTTTTACAAGGCTGTGCCAAAAGTTCAAATTCATGTTTAAATCAGGAGTCATCTTGTCATGCAAAACAAAAGCAAAAAGGGACATTCGCTGGTTCCAGCTTCTCAAATGTAAGACGTTGCTGCTTTTTATATCACTGTAAACTGAATATCTTTGGGGTTTCAACAGTTGGTCGAATAAAACAAAACATCTAAAGATGTCTGGGAAATTATGGGCATTTTTTAGTAGTTTCTGACATTTTACAGACTAAATGATTAAATCAATCAAACAAATCAACAGATAATGTAATAATCATTAGTTGCAACCTTACTCTCTATCTCCGTCTCTCTTTTCCTCTCAGATTCTCACATGCACGTTGTGTGTTATTGTCGTCCTGCTTCACTGCGATTGGCACGGCTGTTTCAGAGCTATGAGACCAGAGATGCAACTGGCTGAGAGTGTATTTATTAATCACCACGCCCTCAGATCTATATTACTATTCACCCAGCCCTTTTGCACTTCACGCTGCAGCACCTACATGAACCAAAATAGCACATGTGCTTAGAGACACCCGCACAGTCCGTGCGCCACTTTGTAATTGTTGTTTCACTTGCATGATCATGCCCTGAATTCTATGTATGTAAATTTATACACTATAAAGTGTTGTTTACTAAAGGTTAATCCATACCTGCCAGCCTATCAAAATGTAGAATTGTCAGTGGCCATGGTAATAGTGCAGTCAACCACTAGCATCTGTTAGACATGAAGATGTATTCAAACATTCTGTTGTACAGGGGCTTTAAGTACATTTCTTCTTGTACACTATAATGCAAGGCCACATACATATCGGGGAATAAAGATCGCACCTCTGCCAGTTCAGCAGCAGCACAGTGAGGAGGGAAAACATTCATAGGCATGAAGCAGATATCTTTGTCTAAAATTAAACAGTAATTCCACTGTTGATTTTTTTCATAAAGGAGAAGGCTAAAATGTATTGTTTTGAGTGGAAAAGCAGGCACTTTATGTACCTTTTACTTGTATAGTGATGACGAATTCTATAAATACTTTCCACAGTGATCTATGTTGCTAGCGACCATCTCTTACTCTTTGATTTGTCTCCAACAGGTCTTCCCACCCCTTCCTAACGAGGCTGAAATCGCACACACCAAAAAGCTCTTCCGACGCAGGAGAAATGACCGACGGTAATAATGCATGCAAGCTTGCATACAGGCACACACGACACACCTCTACCTCATTGAGAGGGAATGTTCTCTTCTGTTGATGTCAGATGTCAGTGCACAGCCAGTCCTATAGCCTTAACATCTCTCCCCAGCCAAAGCAATGTCAAGATAGGAATGCAGGCTCCACACTTCACTGCAGACAGGAAAAAGAAAAAACACTGAGGAGACATTCAAGGTTCACATTTAATAGGTCACTCAACAAAATTTAAGCCAGTTATTCACTCACCCGTGTTTGCATACAAAACTAGAGCTGTCTTTCTTTCTTTTTTCTGATTATGGATTTACTTGTCATGCTTTGCAACATTTAACCTATGGTCCTGTCCCAAACCTCCCAACTCTGCACTAAATTTTATACTGGCACATCTGCTCCAATTGTACACACTCTGAAATCTAATTTCACCCAAGTCTGACTTCATTGAAACCAGGTCCTTAAGAGAAAAAAAAACCATCTCTCTCGTTCTCTCGCTCCCTGCCCTGATGTCACTGGAAAACTGCTCTTCAGTTGCTAAGAGACAGGCAAAGAGAAAATATTTGGGTTGCATTTGTAGTTGAAAAGAGGAAAATTTAGCTATACCAAATGGACAAAAGCACTTTCATCCTTGTTTTTAAGTACAGAGAACAATTGGTTCTGTCCAGAGCTATGGTGTTTATGTGTGATGGGCGCAGTGTAGGCCTGGCAAAAAGAAAAGAACAAAAATATAAACTTGGACCAACATCAGTTTGCTTAGGTTTCAGTCTATTTGTTTTGTGAACTGGAAATATTAACAAGAGACCATCCTGTTTTTTTTGTATGCTTCCAAGCACGCGTTGTCAGTTTGTATTTGAGTTTTATGTACGTGTGTGTACGTCTGGTGTATGCATATGTCTGTGTGTAGAGCCGTAAGTTGAGTGTAGCCTAAATGTCTGATGCCACTACCAAGAACCGCATTTTTTTTTTTTTTAGCAATTCTTATGAAGTGAAACTTTGACTCAACACCAACAGTCAGACAGAGTGGTGGAAATATTCACATTCACATTCTTTATTTACGTCAGAGTTAGTGACTTGCACAGGATCAGCTACCCATTGAAGATTTTGACCATTCTGTGTTACAGAGGCATTGCTTGCATCAAAGCATACCAGGATAACTTGAAGTCCAAGGACAACTAATGTTAGGAAAAAGTACTGTCTTGCATTACTTTCTATTCCTACACGTCATGCCAATCCTTTTTGTATCATTGGGAATGATAGAAAAAGAAAAAACGGAAACATTATGGCATTACAAGACACTGCACAGGATGCTCAGGCAGTGCGTGAAAATACTAATTCCAAAATACTGCAAAAGGAAAAATGGTCTGCTCAATGGTCCTCGACTTTTGAACACATTTTAAATGTATTTACCAATCTTTTCCTGTAAACTTGCTTCAGTGGTGAGTGCATGCGGTCGAATGTAACGTGAACCCAACATTAGCATTGAGTTAGCATTCGTCTCTTAGGTTTTCGAGAGAGCCTTGTACAGGTTGACCAAATATATTTGCACTGCAGAGATGGAGAAAACAGGAAGAGGGTGGGGATGAAAAATATCAAAGGAGAGATGAGGTAGAGGATGAGAAGGAAAGAGAAATGAAGTGCCTGTTCTCACAATGCATGTCAACAACGTGCTGAATCATACATCAGAGAGATCTCTGCAGAAATCTGGGATTTCTTTTTTTTTACAATATGCAACAATTACAAAGAGAGACAGAAGTGAGTATAGTAGAATACAACTTAATTGTTCATAAAGGTGAAAAAAAATTGGCTCTGGTCCATCTGGCAGGTCATTTACATAGTGAATAGTAACAGAACAACACAATATACACAGTATAATAAAAACATGATTGGGGGAAAAAAATATTTCTTTCAAGAAGTCTTTCAGAATTGAGCTGCCCATTATAATGATAAATAAATGACTTCTTATTATATTCTTTGTTGCCAGAGACATCCTGTAGTGCAGTACCAGCGTTTAGCTTTAAAAACAAGGTAAGGTAGAATGTCATAATAATTTGTAGTTAGGAAGGCTTTTATGCAAGTTTGAAAGGTTTATCACAACTATCCAACCTGGCCAACTGACCCTGCAGAGTATAAAAGACTTGGTATCAAAGTGTGGAAACGGGTTAATGAAGTTGAGTTGGCAGTTGGCACACAAAATGGCTTCCTCAGCTTTCATTACTCCACACTGTCCTTTATGAAGCTTAGCATGTTTGCTCATCAAATACATTAACTGCATTTGTTTGTTTGTTTGTTCTGTTATATTTTGTGGTGTGTTGTATGTGATGTATCGACACAGCTGGGTGAAGAAAATTCTTCAAAGTAAAGCTGTTGGAAGTCGATGATGAAATATTGGGATAAATATTGATCATCTGACTATAATGTATGTGCAAAGCTTGAGTGTTGTATTGAATAAAGCACGAGAGAGAGAGACGGAGTGAGACTGAGAGATTGAGTAAAGGAAAAGTGTAGGCTGGCTGTGGCAGGAAGAAAAAGAAAGGGGAGGTAGTGCATGTGTTTCTACTTTAGTATGCACGTCAAGCAGGGCTGAAATTAGTTGTGATTTACTGGAATGTGCTGCTTACCACTCTCCACTCAAAACAGAAAAGGGGCAAAGAAGGCGCTAATATGCACTGAAGATTATTGAGGAGCTTTTACACATCTAGACTTTATTCTCTCTGACTTGCAACTGAGGAAATATGATTTTAACATTTAGCCTACATGCCCCTCCAGTTTCCACATATTGTTGTTACAAAGTGATATGACAACAAACAAGTACTTAAATATAATTTGAGCCGCCAATAGCGTCTGCTGTTTGTATGAGTATATTTATGCATTTGAGTAAAAGTACACAGCAGGTCTGCTTGTTTAACTGCACCTACGATAAACCGCCTGCTTTTCTGCTTATCTTCTGGCCATGATGACTCAAAGTTATTGACTGTAATCTCCAGTTTATGCATGCATATATTCACACACATTCAGTTTGGTCCTGAGTTTTTAATCTTAAAACTTGCAAGAAAACAACAACAGTGTAAAGAGTAATGTAAATGTGCAGTCAGGCAGTCAAAACTTCCAGTCTTCCCACAGTCCATTAAACCAGTGTGTTGTGGTGCGTGTGAAGCTCTGGCTGTGTTATTGACTGTCTATCCTGCAGGGTTCTCTTCCCCCGGGGCCAATCGATTTGCTAGTCTGGGTCAACCAATGGTGCAATGGGTCCACGAGTTCTCCATCCACGTAGAGCAGCAGCAATGATCGATCACCAATATCCTACCTCCTCCCACGCTCATATCTGAAAATTCATTTCACCTTTTTAGTTACCACTTCCTGTTGTTCTGTGCATGTTTGAATGACGTAGTTATCAACCTGTAGTTTTTTTGTTTGTTTCCCTCTTTGCTTCCCTGCTTTTTTCCCCCCTTTATTTTCTACAATATCCCGCTTCCTCCTTCATGCTCTCTACAAAAATTACCTGCCATTTCCCAAAAACATTTCTGCCACTTAACTCCACTCTTCATCTATCCTTCGTCTCTCCATCCTTCCATTCACCTGCATTGTGGCATACCCTCCTCTCCTGCTTGTAGAGCGATTGATCAGTTCACCCGAGACCAGTTAACCATACTTCTGCCTACTGGCCCTGAGGGAAAACGACATGTCTCAGCCAGGTTAGTGACAACATAAGCCAGATCCTGAGCACAGAATGGGACCTGAATACATTTTCGACATTTGACACAGTGATTTATTTGATTTATTCTACTCTGCAAAGCCTCTAAAGGTCAGCCGATAATTGGTGAGACAAGGGTAAAGTGCTTCTCTTGCTTTTTGTTTTTCATTAAATGGTTTAAGAGAATGCTGAAAATAAGATGTACGAAGGATGGACACAGTCAGGCAACATCAAAGCTTAATTTAGTTCTGATTATTACCATGATGTTACCAGGCTCCTCACCTCAACCCAAAACAACCCCCACCAGTTTCTCATTTGGTTAGATGATTGAACGTGCCAGAGACGATGATCTCCCTGGATAGTCAATCCCAGCAACACTCGAGGTACTGCAGAGCTTGCAGTCATTAAATATGATTAACATTTTATTACTGTCTCACTTTCACCTCTCCACTTCACCAGTAGATCAGGAGAAGGGCTTATTAGAGCTGAGCCTAAACTAACAGCTAGTGTAGAGATCAAATTAATCATCAGATGAGCGAATGTGTATGTTTGAGAGACAGACTCGGTGTGTCTCTGAGCAGTCTATGGCTTTGCAGAAGATTATGAAACCTCACCCTCTGCAGTCATATTAAATGAGATCTCACAGTTTCTGTCAGTCAAAGTTAGGCTGCTATACTTTATTTTATAATTATGTAAAACATTGGTTGAAAAAAAAAAAGGCAGCTGTGTATTAATTAAAAGTTTGCTGTAGAAAAATAAAAAAACAGACATTGAAGTTTGGTGCCAATTGCCTAATAAGAGGGTGTTCCCTTATCATTGTGTATAGAAGAGCTGAGTTCCACCATGTGATTAAAAAATTGTGTCAAGCTGATGAACAACTGACTTAGAAAGACGCTGAGAATACTTGCACAGAGTTGGAAGCCGGCTGGTAAAAGCAGAGAGCCAGAAGATGAACTGTCTCTCAACCTCCCAGAGAGAGTGGAGTGGAGGGGCCAGGCGACACATAAACCAAATGAACATGTGCAAAAAAGACTATAAATATACTCGGTAGACACATTCACTTTTTGTGTGCTTCTGCCAGCATGCACATATATATATATATGATGACAGTTTCAAGAAAATCCAACTAGGTCTTCTTCAAGTAACTGCTGATTATTTTCTCAGTTGATCATTTAGTCTATGAAATGAAAAAAATGCTCATCACAATATCTCAGAGCCCAATCTGATATCTTCAAATGGCTTCTTTTGCACGACAAACTGTCAAAATTCCCTAAATATTCAGAGAATAACAGCAAATCCTCACATTGAATAACCTTGAACCAGTCAATGGTTGGCATTCTCATTTGAAAAATTATAGAATTAATTAATTATGAAAAAAATTATCATTTTTAGTTGACACAGAAGCTGCAATAGCAGTTGCCAGTGTTGTTAACTTATCTTTTCTGCAATGATCAAAGAAACAGAGTTACAGTTATTTTCATTAATAATTAATCAGCCAATTGCTTTCAGAAAAATCTATACGACAAAGTCAAGCAGCATCTATCATATGTTAGAACCTGGAACCATCATGTTTAGAATTTTTGTTGAAAAAAAGTACTAAAAAGATTATTCTATTATCAAAATAGCTGCATATTAATTTTCTGTTGATTGAATAAACAATTCATCAACTAATAGTTGCTCTAGTAATATGTAAATTATATATGTCGTCTTGTATGACAATTGTACAGCTGCATCCAGCTCAAGCATGCCTGTCTGCATTTTTCTGTCTGTATTATCATGAATTTGCCTGGGTAGCTAACTAGCAACTTAGGAAAATGATGTCCCCATTCTTGATTCTATCTACTAAGATCTGTTTGGTCGACTGTTACTCCAACTGGTGGGAACAGCCATCAGTGCGCACAACACCAGACCATATTTGAATTGCTGAAGAAATCAGAGATCTGAGTGGTGATTCAGAGGTCTGGAACCCACCTACTGTCTAACATAGTCAGCCAAATAGGTGTTATCTTAGGTTGTTATCTGACACTGGGAACACATTGTCATCTAGAAGAGATCACTTCACCATCTCTGTAGTGATATGAGG